CTCATTTGTCTTACCTCTCAAAAATAAAATAACTCTAAAATTATGTCATTTTAATGAATGCCAATTGAAAAAAAAACTAAAATATCACTTTTTTAAAACATGAATTAAATTACATTTTATTTTTTCTCAAGATACTTTATTGAAATAATATAATTTTAGAATAAGTTTTTTAAAAAAATTTAAAAGACAAGATAGATAAATACTAACCCATATATATATATATATGAAAATGAAAGTTTTTACAATTTAATAGAGTAATTATGACTCATAGTTAAAATATACTCCTTCCAGTTATATTTAGTTGTTCTACTTTAATTTTTATATAAATTAATTCTTAAAAAAATAATTATTACATTCTTAATCTTTTTCCTCGAAGGAGAGAATATGAGTTAAATGTCAGAAATTTCGGTGAAATTTACTAAAGACATCAGCTTTTGGATTGACATTTTTGTCTGGGCCAGGGGATATATGTGTTATGGCGCGCCACGTATAACTTCGTTAAATCACAGATTTTATTGTCATTTTATTTATTTTTATTTTTATTTTTAAATTAGTAATTATAATATTTTAAAATATTTATTTATAAATTAATTTTAATATATTAATTAAAAAAATATTAATTATTTTATCAATTGTTAATTGTTTTTAATTAATAATTAAATTAAATTAAAAATTTACCCATTTGTGTATTTGTAACAAATTAAGCATAACCATAATTAATCATATACAAGAGAGAACTTTGGAAAAAATTCAATACAACCCCAAACTTTTAAAATTTTAGTACTACCCATCAGCCTTTTTAATATATGACACTTTTGCCCAAAATCTTTATTTTGTTGTTTTTTCAACTAATATCTCTAACCTTTAAATTAATAATCATCTATTGGTTGATAAAAAAATCATAATTGGTCATTGTATTACTTTAGATAGTAAAATTCAAATTTAATGCTGACATGGGAATTAGTGAGTCTATTAAATATAAAAAATGTTTTTTTAATCTCTAAACTTCATAATTGGCAAAAAATTGACAAAAATCTATAAATTTATAACACATCTCCTCCCTTTTCCTTATGTCCTCCTCCTCTATCTGCTAGAAAAGCCCTTTCTAGCACTAGATTGTTTTTCTTACCGTACTTAAAATCAATATAAAATATTCAACTACACTATATAGTTTTTTTTTTACCATTGAGTATACCCCTAATGCACAATAAACTATCGAGTGGTTAGATCTTTTTTTTCTTCTTTTTGTCATTCGATGTGATTTAGAATTACAAAAATATTAAAATTTTCATTTTTTAATTTTGTTTTTAAGTTCTTTTTTTTTTTCACAAAAGCAACTAGAAAGTATTTAGTAATTACAAAAAAAAATCATTTATAGATTTTATTTGGAAAATAATTAATATATTATTTGATTTAACATACTTATCAACAACTACCAGTTCAACTATTAAAATTTTAAAATTTAAATTTTCTCACTTTTAATTTAAATTTAAAAATAATATTTTTTAATAAATGTATTAAAAAATATATCAAATTAAAAAATGTATATATCAATTTCCATTATATTTTGGTCGTTACTTATTAAAGCTTCCTTCTCTCATTTTTCTTTTTCAAAAATTCGGTCCCAAGCTTCCTTCCTCATTTTCCTTTTTCAAAAATTCCGCCCAATCGATCTCTCGACAAATTCTGGCTCCACCACTGAGTTAATATAATTATTTGCCTAGGTTCGACCAATCATCCAAGTTCTTGATCAAATTTTTTATTGTTTTATTTTTTACGTTTAAGAGTTTGGCGGTTCTCAGCATTGTAGAATATGAGTTAAATGTTGGAAATGTAATTAGTACATTTTTTAGTTTAATACATTATATAATGTATTTATTAAAAAATTCCGCCCCCATCTCTTGACAAATTCTAGCTCCACCACTTAGTTAATATATTTATTTGACTAGGTTTGAACACTTATCCAAGTTCTTGATCAAATTTTTTATTGTTTTATTTTTAATGTTTAAGAGCTTGGCGTTTCTCAGCATTATAGAATATAAGTTAAATATTAGAAATGCAAATACTAATTAATACATTTTTCGGTTTAATACATTTTTCGGTTCAATACATTATATAATATATTTATTAAAAAATTCCACCCCATCTCTTGACAAATTCTAGCTCCACCACTGAGTTAATATATTTATTTGACTAGGTTCAACCCCTTATCCAAGTTCTTAATCAAATTTTTTATTGTTTTATTTTTAACGTTTAAGAGTTTGGCGTTTCTCAGCATTGTAAAATAGTTAAATGTTAAAAATGCAAATACCAATTGATATACTTTTCAATTCAATACATTGTATTATATATTTATTAAAATTTTATTTTTTTTGATATGAAATTAAAGATAAATAAATTTTAAAATGTAATTATGTATATAGAATGCAAGACAGATCACAAAATTCAATTGAATTAGTTGTACTTATATTATATTTTAATAATTAAACTATTAAAAAGTAAGTCCAACCTAAGACTATATCAATCATTTTCCTATAAATGCCATCATAAGAATTTGTTAAGGACATCATTAACATTTCAGCTTCGAATTGGCATTCTATCTTTCCAGTAAACATTACTACTTGTTTAAAAATTAGAAAATAAAAGATAAATTTAAGTCCTTTAATTTCAAATGTTAGTATAGTAGTCGCTGGTATACTTAATTTGTTAGGGGCCGGGTTCACATGTGGTGTTGTGATGGGAAAAAAACGGCACATTGAAAGAAAATGAAGTGATTGAGTACAATACACATGTGAAAGGCATGCACTTGATAAACACAAGCACTTCTGTTGTGTCTCTGAGAAGTACTTTTGGGATCGACTTCTCACATCCCAGATAGCAAAACAAAACAAATCCCAGGTTTTTATCTTTCAGCTTTGAATAGCATAAAATTTTGAGAGGAAAATTTGAATTCAAGTCATGAACGAAAAAGGTACACTTTAATCAGTTGGATTGATAACTCGGTGCGACCCAAGGTCGTTTTTAAAATTAACGTGAGATACAATAATTCGGTGCAACCCAAGCTCTCTTCTTTAAAATGTAATGTTAATTTTTTTTTATATATTTTTTTAAAACTTTCACGTACCAAAATCATATACTAAATGAAGCCTTCATTTAATATAATTTTGGTTTTTTTATTTTTATTTTTTATATATTTAGTAATTAGTACTATATTTAAATTAAATTTAGTAAATTTAAATTTCTATAATAAATTTTAATTTGTAAATATAAAAACGGTTACTAAATATTTAAACAACAAAAACTCAAAATTCAAAACCAAAATTATATTAATGAAACCTTAGTTTACCAAGCAATTCCTCCCTTGATTGAAAAATAAAATTCAAGCAATTTCTTTTAGAATAAAATTTGCATAAATTTATTGAAAATAAAATGAGTAATATTATTTATATTAAGCAAAAGAGATCAAAACAATCTTATATTGTTTCTGGATAATGGAATTGGAAGGTATTTGTATCTTATGAAATTAGCTTTTACTCTTAAAAAAAAAAAAAGTAATAATAGGGAGGACAAAAATTTAAGATCAATTTTTCAAAAGAGTTAAATTTTATTTACTTAAAAAAAAGATATTTTTTACTTATATCTTTGTTGTATAAAGATTTTATTTGTCACTAAACCTAAAACTATTGCTAAATAAGTTCCTTAAAGTCAAACTAATCTATTCAAACCAAACTTAAACTTTGACTGGCTACTTGGAATTACATGTAACACGTTGTTGACTAGGTTATAGACTAGAGAAATATAATATATTGTTGACGACCACTTAAGATTTTCAAAATAAATTGAAAAATTAAGTGTGAAAATATAAAAGAAAAAGGAGTCGTCACTCGTCTAAATTATAAAGTGGGACAAGTTACCTAAAATAAGTCTGCGCAGAGATCGAGGTTTGAGGGTTCAGTTAGGAGTGAGGAAGGGCATACGCACACCTCACAATCCTCCGTTTAAACACGGTTGTATACTTTAACATTGGGGTTTTTAGTTCAACTTCTTCATTATGTTTATGTTTGAGTCTTAATAGGCAAGCTTGAAAAATGATAAACCAAATTGAAATATTTTTTGAATTTTTAGACTAAATGGACAAAATTAAGAACATGCACGCCCAATGAACACAAATAAAAATTAAAGGGATTAGTTTGATTAAATTAGAAACATGGAGGACTGATTTGATAAAACTCAAAACATGAAGGACTGATTTGAAAAGAATTGAGATGCATGGACTAAATTGCTCAATCATGAAAATTTCGGGTGAAATTGAAATGAAGAAAGATAATTTTGACTTTGACCCAGATTAAAGAAAATTAAGGATTTAAATTAATTAATTAGGATGATTAATTTAAAATTAATTACAATTAATTAATCATGTTTATTAACTTTAATTTAAGATAATATCTTGATTAAAGATTAATAATGTGATTAATTAATTTTATTAATCATAAATTAAGTAAATTATCTTAATTAATTACTATTTTCTTTTTACCTTTTTTAGTTTATATATATATATATATTACTGGATTAAATCGGACTGACCCGACCCAAAAACGTAAACCATCATGCAAAACATATAAGAAACAGATCAAACATCAAATGAAAATGAGATTTTCATGTCATTTCCAGCAAAGACATACATTCATCCAGTGCCTAATCTGAATATTTTTTTTTTTTGACATTTTCATTAGTTTTTCAGCAACATACATGGATTTAACATCACATTTAAAAAAAACATCAACAGAGAAGGAAACAAACAAACATGGCGAAAATCTTTGAAGAAAACAGATCAGAATCGGGGGGAGGGATCCCACCCACGGGATCAAGCTCCAACCCTCTCCCTCACTGCTTTTCCCAAAAACCTTCTCTGATGCAGGAAAATACCTAAGATGAAAACCCAGAAAATGCACAATCTTCGGGAAGCTCAGCGATCCTCCTCTTCTTACTACGCTTCCAGCAATACCCCAAACTCAGACAAAGAAATCCCCAAAATCAAACTCCAAAATCAATCTACCACAGACCCTTCCTGTAAATCAAACTTCAAAAACTCTCCAACCAACCCCCCCTCCTTCTGATTTTTTTCCATATATATATATATATCCAAATAACAAATAAAAAATAAAAAGACTTGCTCCTGTCAATCAGTAATGATGAAGATTTCAACTGGCATGTACTGTAGCGAGCAGGAGTGCAGGCGCGGTGCAGCAGCAGGATCAAGCGTGCAAGCAACAGGGGCGTGATTGCAGGATCAGGCGCGTAGAGGGGAGAGTGCAGGCTCAGGCACGCAGAGGCCAGGGGTGTGACGCAGCGTGCAGGAACTGGTACAGAGCAAGGCTGGTGCAGGAGCTAGGGGGCGCGGTAGAGTGCAGGCTGGGGTGCAGCAGGGCAGCAGAGGGGGGATCTGGGCGCAGAGGCGAAGGGATCTGGTCCAGGGGAAGGCTGGCGCGGTAGGGGCATGATGGCTCGGGCCTAGGCGGTTGTAGGCGGCAAGGGCGTGGTGCAGTAGCAGGGCAGGCTCCGGTGTGAGGCGCAGCAAGCAGGGGCATAGGCAACAGGAGGCTGGTTCGGGAAAAAAAAAATACAAATTGATGGGGAAAGAGAAGGTTCCAGACACCTTCTTCTCTCTTTTTTTTGTTTTTGGGTAATTTTGGTTTGGGTTTTGATGGGTTTTGGGTTTGGGTTTATAAATTCATTTTGATGAACTTCACCCCTTCAACTTTTAATTTCTTCAATTGAGTCCCTTCTTTCTTCTTCTTGAATTTTCCAATTTCTTTTTGCATGTAACACCTGAAACAAAATAAAGATATATTAGTCAGAGAAAAGGGAAATTTTCATATTTTTATATTTTTGATTTTTCCTTCCTTTTTTTTTTTATGAAAATTTGAGTTATGACATATATTAATAAAAAAATATTTTACAATTTTGACTATATCGAATTATAAAATATTAACCCATAAATAAGAAAAATTTTATTGATATTGAGAGTATTTTTTATCTAAAAATTTTTGTTTTATAATTCAAAATAATTTAAACAGTAAAATAACATATATATTAAACTTAACATAGGCGAAGGAGAATTTCACTAAGAAGCGAGAAATTAGTGCAGTTGTCTGTCGGACTTGTCGCCATATATTATATATTGGGGTTAAATTTAACTTTTCATCTACTAACTATTATTCCATTTTCATCTTAGTTTAGATAGTTTAGTTTCTTTTAAATTTATCTATAAATTATGAAAATCATTTCAAATTCATCTATCTAACAAACTTCTATTAGTTTTTTTAACGGAATCCTATGGCATAATTATGTGGCACGAATTACGTGGCATATACAATTTTGAAAAATTATACTTTTTTTTTCATTTGTACATTTTAATAATATTTTTATTTTTTTAGTGAGACTTTTTTTATTTTTTATTTTTTATTTTGTAATAAATCTATATCTTTCAATTTTTATTAACATCTAAAAGATCATCATTGTCATTGTCATTATTAAGATAAAATTATATCATTTTTTTAAAAAAATTAGTGTGAATTAATCTTGACTCCTAAAAAAATTAGAATTTCAACATATATTTAAAAACTTAAATTTTAATTCTAAATTAAGAATCTAATCAGTTTCTAAATTTAAAAATCATCATTTAATAAGATAAATTTTTAAATTTTAAATTAAATTTTAATTAAATAAAACAAAGTAATTTAAGGTTAAAACTTCAATCTTTCTATTGGAAGTCAAGATTGATATGTATTTTTTTCTTTTTCCATTTAGTACAAAAAATTAATTTTTATTTGCACTCTCTTTTTCTCAAAATAATTTGTTTTTTATTTTTTTAAATTAAAATTTTAAAGATAATTTATGTTTACTTGTATTACCCTTAAAAAGAAATAAAAGATGAAGAGATACATTTTGTGATGGGATAATTAATTAAAGTAAATAGATAATAACAAATATTTTTTTTTTACTTTAACCTAATTGTTATTTATTTACTTTACTTAATCATCCCTTCAACTTTTATTTCTTTTTAAGGGTAATATAAGTAAACATAAATTATCCTTAAATGTTTAATTTTAAAAAAAGTGATTTTGAGAAAGAGAGAGTATAGATAAAATTAATTTTTTGAACTAAATAGAAAAAAGAAAGAGAAAAATGTATATCAGGTCTAACTCAAAAAAATTAGAGTCATAACTTTAAAGTACATTATTTTATTTATTTAAAATTTAATTTAAAATTTAAAAGTTTATTTTATTATTAAATATTGATATTTAAATTTTAAAATAGATTAAAATTTTAAAATTTGAATTGAAATTTCAATTTCTAAATATAAGTTGAAACTCCAATTTTGTTTAAGAGTTGAGATTAATTTGCATTAACCTTAAAAAAATGATATAATGTTATCCTAATAATGACAATGATGATTTTTTTAGTTGTTACTCAAAATTAAAACATATAAATTTATTCCAAATTTAAAAATAAAAAATAAAGAACAAATCTCAATGAAAAAATGAACATTATTATATTTGAATCATATTCTCCTTATTCAGAGTTCTGGGTTTGAATCAATTATATTTGATTCGAACCAATCTCGAATTTCTTTTTTTCGAAAATGGTTCGAACCATTATTTCTGACTTCGAAGCAAAAAATCTGGAAGGATAAATTTTGACAGCTCAACCATCCGTTTATTCTTAATGGGTCATAGGGGATCCAAATGTCTTAGTAATCTCCAAGACAAGTTAGAAGAAATAGGTGGAACCTAATTGGGGCAATTGTGAGGTGGCTTTGAAAGGCTAAATGAGCTTTGTAAGGCTCCTAACCAACTATTAAAAGGACATCAAAAATCAAATCTGGATGATTGAAGAAGGATGAACTGCTACAGAAAATTGAGTTTGAAATTGTTCTGGATTTCCTTCTTCTTTTTTTCTTGTGAGCTTTTGGGTTAATTGTCTTATAAAGGTTTTGTATTCTTCTTGGATTGGGATAATCCTTGAAAAGGTTGAGTAAGTTGAGATTCACTTGTGAGAGTTTAATCTTACACCCGCAAGTAATAGTTTATTCCGATTTAATCTTGTACCCGTAAGCAAGAGATTTCCAGTGGATTGAACTCTCGAGTAAGGAGACTTAGGGAATGGACGTACTCCGGATTGGAGAAACCACTATAAATCACGGCTTGATATTCTTTTTCATCTCTTTTATTTTTTTTGCACTATATTACTCTTGTTTATTCTGCACAAAAACTTATATATATTGAAAACTTCATTCACATTTTTATAAAGGAAATGAAATGAGTTTTATATCTTAGGAATTTAGGGGTAGTTAGCTGGGATTACAATTTCAAGTAACCCTGGGCGGCCAAGGAGGAGACAGTGCTTCCCATATCTTAGACATGTCATGTAACGTTTCTTTCTTTTCTTTTCTTTTCGCTCCTTTCCTTGTCCTGCAAACATGATTCCAAGAGATAATTTAATTTAATGTCTTAATTGTTAGGGATGGCAACAAGTTTCGTAAAACATTAGTATGTTTTTACCTTGGTTTTGGCCGATAATAGAGAGGTGGATTGTGGAGATTTTTTATGGGTGACAAATTTTGTCCCATTCTTGTTACTTGCAGAGAATTGAACCATACAAATTTTTTTTTAAAAAAAAAAAATTAATTTAATCATTCTTTACTATTCTAAAATAAAATATTTAATGAATTCTGTTTAATAAAAAAGAGATGTGTTTTTTTTTTAAGTCTTAAAAAGAGATGTGTTTTAGAAATGAGTTTTGATTAAAAATAAATAATGATTTCGAGTTGAGAACTTGAATTTAATATTTATTTTTATTATTTTATAATTTTTTGTGAGAATAAGATTCTTACCTAATTTCACGATAGAGAAAAAATTCTTGACAAAATTTTATAAATGGAAAAATCCCATGTTCACTCAATAGAAAAGAATATTCCTCTTATATGTAAGTCTTTAGGGAAAATAATAATATTATAATTATAATATCAAATAAAATTATAAATTTATAATTATAATATGATATTAAAAAATATGACATACATAATATTAAATAAGTAATGGTATGAAAAATAATAATATTATAATTATAA